GCCCTTTGTGACATAAGCAATAAAACGTGATTTGCTCTATGGCGTAACATTACAAGAAGAGAAAGTAAGCAAACAAAAATTATCTATAACTTATTTACCAAAGGGCATGCGATCACCTTATAAAATAGCTGACGTAGAATCACTTTTCAAGCTTTTTTGTTCGAATTTTTTTTTTGTGGAAACGAAAATCGAGACCAGTTTCCCAATCGGAGAGAAATTCATTACCAGGGGGTAATATTTTTTTTTTGTGTGTGTGTGTGGGGGGGAGGGGGGGGGGACTCAATATTTGTCGTATTATAACTACTATAATTCTTTATTAAAACTATTTTAGTATTTATGAACACATAAACTATGTAATTTGCACAGAAGAGTGAGTACGACTCTCGCACAATCCTTGCTGAGACAGCTTTCCCCGACCATTCATAACGTCTGGCCCCTTTACGAAGGAATTTGGCACTCATGTCGTAGGGTGAATAATTATTTAACCGCTGACGTTACAGCTACCTTCATTGCCAAGTCCATGCATCTGAAACAAATTACCGGAAAACTAATCTCATACCCGACATGCAACGTCAAACGGGCAAGAGAATGTGGTACGCTTTTTTTTCAAGTAATCTCGTTGATTTTTCTTTCTCGAGTAGAGGTTATGAAATCCCGAGCTTATCCCATATACCAGGGGTGGCCATGCTAACCTTTGACCGCGATCAACTAAAATCTTTAAAAAAGATCGTGATTGACTGATCGATAATTGAGTCCCAGACAAAAACGAATGGGCACTGAATGTGCAGATAACTACACACACGCATACAACAAATTCGCAAAATCGACATAAAATTTGTATTCTTCATGTTCCATTTAAGTTGTTGATTTGAATATTTAATTGTACCTCGAATAAATGTGTCATTATTTATTTATTTAAGATTTATTCAAATCCTACAATTCAGATAAAGGACGAGACTAATTTTTAGTCGTAAGTGTTGAAAATTCTTCAAGAAACCTTGCCAAGTATTAACCAAAGAGCAAAAAATAAATATTCTCAAACCATGAATGTTACATGACTGCTCAAACTTCAGTATCTAATTTACAATAATTCTCCAAACGCGATTCTTCGCTTGCTTAGAATTAGAACAGATTTGGCATTTTCTACTGCTACCATTGCGAATAAAATTTATCACACTACTCTCGGAGTGAGACAATGCTTTTTGCATACTGCCGAAGTTATTGTAGGATCGTTTGTCAGTCTAGACCAGGGTTGCCAGATTCAAATGATGAAAAAAAGCCAAATCAAGACAAAAAAAAAATCAAAAAAAAAACCTCATGTTTTGACAGATTTGAAACTCTTTGCACAATAATGAATTAGCGCAGTTTGCAATATGAATCCTACTAAAGTTTGTAGTTTTGGTTGCTATCACGATGATTTCCACTTCAGCACAATCAGGAGTTTACAAATAGAAAGGATTATTGAATGGCAAAATTAGAATGTATATCCGACACAATGCCGTCAAGGTGACATCTACATGAAAAATTCAAAAACATCAAAAAGCTCAAAAAAGTAAATATTAGGTGGACTGCACTATTTTTTCAATTCAGATATACAATACAACGTGTATACCGCTTTAAGACGGATAAATGTACATGTTTCTACTTGAACTTGCGATATATATACCTCGGAAAATTGGAAATGTGTTGAAAATTATAAAATGGTTCATGTGTTTAAAGACGTCATTTTTTATTAAATTTATTCAACCTCGTGCCGCTTGCACACATAGTATAGTGATAGATGATTTTAGCCCAGATAATCAGTCGTTTGCTAGAATTTTGATTACCGTAACCATACTAAAGCTCCTCGGAAGAAAAAAATGACATTTACTGAATCAAGCCATACAACTATTTTTTGAAAACATAAATAAAAACTGACAAATAACACTGTAACTCGCAAAACTAAGCTTGCTTGAATATCTGTCTGAGTGACCGCAAAAACTGCAATAGTCATGTCAGTCTGAGTGATCCAAGAGTCTTGCTGCACACTAACACAAATATATTTCTGTAACGTTTCGTCTGACCAAGGTCAGACATACATAGTTCAACCTAATCGATAGCACATGTTATGTCATTGGTGACTTATTTTTGATTGGTCATGGTGAAGGGAAAATCTAAATGTTGAGTAGATAAGCTTGGTATTTGTATGTATGTATGTTTATTTGCCTCAAAAATGTAACAGTATCTGCATAATAGTTAAACGGTAAAACAGAGACGGGATACATGTACAAGACCTTACTGGCCTAAGACACAGATGTGGACATGCACCCCAACAAGTCTAACTGCAGTTTAGGACTGCTGCGTTATAGTAGGACAACAGACATGAAATATACAAATAAAACCGGTAAATATACCGGTATAAACCAATAAATACCGGTATTGTATTTTAAATAATTTTAATAATAGACAGTAGAATGGACATCAAAAAAGCCAAGAAAAGGCCAAACGGAAATTCTGACACCAAACGTGTTTCAAAAAAGCCAAAATCGTGAAATTTGGCGTTGAAAAAGTCAATATGGCAAACCTGGTCTAGACACGCAATATTCGGAACTTCATTCTTAAACCTTGGCAGCGGAAAAATTTGCTTTTTTCATGTGATAATATGCTTTATCGGTCTTGCCCAGACTCAAATACTGTATGTGTATATTGTAATTTGCGCATGTAAAGTACTGTTTTCTTCCTGCTGCAAAACACACAACTGCTACGAGGCAATTTTTGGGGGTATTTCAAATTAAATTCACTCAACATCAGATCGACTGCTCGAGATGTGGCGATCAACGTGTTGGTCACGCCTGCCATATACACAAGGATCGCAAGATTCGTTACCAGGACTGGGTCTTTCAAATCGAATAGTAACTTATTCAAATCGTTTCAGACCGAGAATTTAGAATCGCCGGCATCTTGTATTTTTTTACCCGCTTGCAGGTCGAGATGAATTCCTCTCTTTTTATTAATATCAATCTTCAAAATGCAATTCTCACTTCTTCCGAGTGAGTCATTGATTAGACATGTGACTTAATGTGTGTGAACACTCAAACTGTCTGAGTGGGAGATTACATGTTTCCACTAATTTATGTGTCTGAAGGACCCAATACATTAAAACAGTCAATACAAATCTTCCAAGTATTCGAGATACGATCCGATTTAAAAAATATTCGATTCTGAAGTCTTCAGACATTCGAAAATGCCCAGCCATACTCGTTACCATCATAGGGTGGTCGTCTTATCGACTCTACTTTTCCCGGAACTTGAAAAATATATCACGAATCCTAGGTAATTTTGCAGATTTTTTCACAACAAGCGATGGCCATTAAAATTCTTCAATCATGTCCAGGCAAGTTTTATTACTTTACATTAGAGAGGCCATAGTTCGCCCGGTAACGACAAGAAGTGTGCGTACCAATATGGAGGTAACTAATTTTGTTTGCCTATTTTACATCAAGCTGTGTAAAGGGACTGAAACATATGGGCAGAAGGTATATTCACTTGGATAACACAGACAGTCACAGAGCGACTTACGCGACCAAAACGTTAGCTAAGAATCCATTAAAAATTAAATAAATAAATTGTTTTTCTGCACAGTGAGGGGAGAATAAGGCAAAGGGAACGAAGAAGGTTGGAAACCATTGGCTAACTAATCACGAACAAAACCTAAAATTCCTCTTATCTGCAGCGGCGTATCTATGTAATATGACGCCCATGGCAAATTTTGAAAAAGTCGCCTCCTTGATCGCTGTCTGACAATTTTTTTACGACTATCGTTAAATTGAGTTGGTTCTACGTTAATACTTAAGAAGAAATACGAGTTAAAAAACAATTTTTTTAAATTCGAAATTATTTTATTGAAACATTTTCGATTACAACTTCTTTCCCTTCGCTCCAATCTAAACAACGCCTATGGCACGAATCATACCATGGATACGCCGCTGCTCACCAAATATGCTCTCTTTCCACTGTATCCTAATAGGAAACCTTATCCCGCACTACCGCATCGCGACAGAAAAACACGATTCAACAAAGAAATTTTTTTTCGCGATTTCGTAAAACTGATTAATAAAGCAATTAAAATAAATAAATTCCGATATAGAGAATAGTGAGAGTTGCTTGAAGCAAAGTTAACACACTCACTCAGAAGTAAGAGAGACTCATCTCGGAGCAAAGTTACGGGCGCTCACTAAGAAATAAAACAGACTCATCTCTGAGCAAAGTTACGGGCACTCACTCAGAAGCAAAGGAGACTCATCTCTGAGCAAAGTTACGGGCACTCACTCAGAAGCAAAGGAGACTCATCTCTAAGCAAAATTACGCACACTCACTCAAAAGTAAAGGAGACTCATCTCTGAGCATAATTACGGGCACTCAATCAGAAGTAAAGGAGACTCATCTCTGAGCAAAGTTACGAGCACTCACTCAGAAGTGAAGCAGACTCATCTCTGAGCAAAGTTACGGGCACTCAGTAAAATATACTCGAATCTGAGCAAAGTTATGATAAAACTTGCTCAAAGTGTGGTCACTTGCATTCACTCAGAAGAAACGGTACATATCTCTGAGAAATGTCAAACTCACTCACCTAAAAGAAAAAAACTCATCTCTGAGCAAAGTTATGCTCACTCACTCAGAAGTAAAAGAGACTCAACTCTGAGCAAAGTTATTGGCGCACACCAGAAGAGCAAAAGTCATGGAAACCAGATATTATCATACATTACTCAAAAACACACTCGCATAAGACAGTTTAAGTCTATGAATTCCAGAAAAAAACACAACTCGGAATATGGAAGAGATTGGTTGACAACAATACGGGTAGAGAAGGTTTTTCTCAACAACAATTTTATCATGGGAAATTTTTTCATGTACATTTTGGGGTGCCCATATAGTTATGAACCAAGATGGTGGACACCAGAACGTAGTATGTGTACCCGATTATGAGTAGGCCATAATTTTATTCCAATTTTCCTCATTTTAGTTCTATAACGAGTTCGGGGACTAGCCAAGTGAATCCCGTGGTATTTGTACCTGAAATTATGGCCTAACCCTAAACTGGTACACATATTACGTTCCGGTGTCTGCCATCTTGGTTCACATAATTCTTGAGTACCAAAAAGAAATCTGACAAAACGGTATAATCATGTAGCCAACCACAAACCAAATATGATTAACCAGTCATTCATTTCGGATGTGAGGGCTTGGTGGTGAAGGAACTGTAATTTAGCGATTTGTCAATACAAAAACCCTTTCGAATTTTCCCAGTATCAAATCTGAATGTGTTTCATAACATTGAATATCCTCTGTATCTTTGTCTCTATAACGGGGGATATTTACAATAATCCCTGTTTCCAGTCTCTAATCAAGCTCACATGCTATTAAACCCTCATTATTAGCACAGGAATAGAATTATTTTCCTCGTTTTCAGTTTCAGATGGCTTCGAAGAGAGTGTACATATCCTTAAATCCCCGTTATTAGTCCCATAGACAAGCCCGCCCCCTACTTCGGGGGACCACGACATTGTGTTGATGCTCACTGGACGATGTGGACGATCTTGGGCTGAAAAGAATAAAGAAATTGACCATTTTCATATGAAGCTTACAATCAAAAACAACATAACACCAAAACAATTCACTTCATGTCCAGTGAATAAATCCTTCTTACCAGGATGGCAAACGCTTTTCACAACCGGCATCTCTGCTGTATTTTCATTTGTTAGTTCAAGTATTTGCCCCATTAGATACCTGAAATAATAAAAAAGTTATCAAAACCATCACAAAGAGAAATGTGACATTCTAATAGATCGGCAGAACACTATTACTGAACAATTGGAGTATGTGGCAGTGCGATGGATTTAATTCAACCATGTTGGCATCGCAGGTTACACATCTCAGGTGGCAGAGTGCAAGGAACGAGGTATGAAACGGCAAACCAGGAAGATTCCAACCTCCCAGAAAACTTAGAGTCACACGTTTGGACATATCGTCTCATGTCTTGTGTCACTTCCATATTCCAAATTCAAGAAATTTTTCTTAGTGTGTATTAGGGCAGGGCTACTTAACTGGTGGACCGCGGTCCGAATCCGGACATTTCAAGTATTTGATTCGGACCGCACCTAATTCTTTATTTTGAATCATTAGCCCCACTTTGTAAATTCCTTCTTATAAAATGACTTTTATAGTTTTAAATATATATGAAAATAACTATACCACCATAATAAACAATCTTGATTAGCTAATATTCGTTAGCCAGTCGAGGAAGTGCGTGTTTAAGGATGCCGAAATTAATTTCTGGAAAGACCGGACCCAAATAAATTTTGAAGTTTGTATGCGGATCTTCGGCAAAAATAGTTTAGTAACCCTGTATTAGGGTTTGGAATTCCTGCTTGTCAGATTTCCAAAAACCATGGTATAGGCTTGGCGGTGTGGCGCATCGTGCTAAGTGTTAGAAATACGCTTGCCACCGCATCTCTGATTACGCTTCGTGGGTTCGCAGGTTCGAATCCCATGCAGGGATGATCATGTGCGAGAGGATTGCTGGACTCCTCGCCGCCATAGGGTGGTTCGCTGGTCGGTTACGGCTTCCTCCACCATCAAGTCCATGCTTCCGAAAAACAAGTAACTAACTAATCCCATACCCGACCTAGACTGGTAACCGGACGAGTGGCCGTGGTTCGCCATATGATTAAGCCGTCTCATCATCTTTCCTCGGATAAATATGTAAATCCTATCCTATCCTAGGTAGGATAGAAAAGATGGACTGGGAGTGCGGCATCACATAATAGTTGTAAATTGTTGTATTTCTGCCTTTTTTTATTATTTTGGAACGTAGAATATTATGCGTAATAAACTCAATATTCCTACATTTACCTCAGGAATTATCAACAATTCAAAAACACATGCATACACTAGGGGCAGGCCAGATCAGAATAATAATGACACGTAAGTTCAAGGACTGAATTAAATTAAAATAAACGAATTCAATAATACTATAATAGTTATTGAAAAATGCCCACTAACTATGAGGAACCACTCACCTATTAGGTCTTGATTCTCCGAGTAAAAACTGCCGGCTTTTGAGTCCAACACAGATATAGTTGCAAAGTGGAGAGATGCTGAGACACACGGCATTGGGGCCGTATGATTTCCTAAAAAAGGAATTTGAAACAATAAAATTTGAAAAGGAGTTGAAGATAACATGAGTTAAAAATCTTGGGTAAAATCCCGTGTTCGCCACCTGACAATTGGTGTCTTAAGAATTTGAAATTAGGCGAGAGAAGTGAAGCATAATGGCAGTGTTTATTTATTTATAGTTTTAATAATTTCCACGTACCCCCATTGTATGGGAACCGAGATGGCGGACAATGGAACGTGGTATGTATACCAGGTTAGGCCATAACTTCAGGTACAAATACTACGAGAGTCATATGGCTAGTCCCCAAACTCATAATAGAACTAAAATAGGGAAAATAGAATAAAATTATGTTCGAAAACCTGCGTTCTGGGGTCTGCCATCTTGGTTCACATACTCCGAAAGCGCCAATTTCTTACTGCAATTTAAAAATTTGGGGACACCGTGTTGTTCCATGGGTTTGTTTATAGATAATCAGCAATTGAATTGGTTTACTAAGCTTCACAAGTGCTTCTAACCGGTTCGAATATTGTATCTGTTTTAGACTTTACATCCCCGCTCTTATAAGCAAGAGAAATTATTGACTAACTTGAATAGTAATTGTCCGAAAGTGCTTGGTTCGAGAGAGAACACACCAACGTTCATCATGTTGTCAGGGTAACCAACAAACGTCGGCACAAAAGTTGCGAGGAGGCGACCGTCCTAGAAAAAATAAATTTAATTAGTTAGTTTGAAAGGGTAGGTGCTAGTAAGAAATTGCCAAGGATGTATTGAGCGTAGATAGTTTTATTAATAACACTATTTAGTGATTTATAGCACAGGTGTGCAACCTTTATTACAAGAGGGCCAGGTTTAAATAACAGGGTCGAACAGTGGGCCGCACATTTATTTAACATAGGCTTTCTAGTAGTTGCAGTCTGCAGACACAAAAATTTTGGTTTTTGATCTTATTCTTATGACATGTGTTGTTTGTCTCAAATATGCTAGCTGTTAGGGCATATGAAGCGTCATATATGCATAGATAATAAATTGGACTCAGATATGAGCAAGTACCAGATTAAACTAAGTTAAATTAGTTTTGTGGGCTTTTTTGTGCGTGCTGACGTCACCAAAATTGAAAAATGCACATCATGCGTCGTGCCAACCCAAAAAGACAGCTTAATCATATGGTGAACCACAGCCTCTCATCCGGTAACCAGTCCATGTCAGGTATGGGATTAATTAGCCAGTTATTCATGGACCGGATGATTGAGAAAGCTGTAAACTGAAGGTAGAGGAAGCCGTAACCGACCAGCAGTTACATGAGATAGCCTAATACCGGATACCTTCGAAAAATTCAATTTACCTGTGATATATCCACACTTGCATCGTTATAAATCTTGCAATGAGGAACCAAGACATTGACATCAGATCTGAAAAAAAGCAGACAAAAAACAGTTTTAGGATCTTCAAACAAAAAATAATCCGACTAATTACGTAAAATATGAATTCGCCTAATTTGAATATAACTAATTTATTATCTCTAGGTCAGGTGTTGGGCGTGGGACTCAAACACCAAATTTTGGAATCTGGAATAGAATCTTACCGGTTTAGTATTGACTTCCTGACTATTACACTATGGGTCAGGGATGGCCAACCAGTAAGAGACAAGAGTCAAATTCTGTGCTTTATTACCTCGAAGAGCCATATTATAAACAAGAACATCAGAAAAACCTTTATTCAGCTCTGCTAGAATGCTAGTTTATTGTAAATGTCACAAACCAACATGATTATAACAGAAATTTATGAGCCATTTATTGTTATGCATGCTCTTAGTGGGACTTCTGGTATTCTTTGGATTGAACAATCCTCTTTAAATTTGGCTTGTATGTAGTTGTAGCCAATTGAAGCAATTCTTTCACATGCGCGAGAACATTATGCGATGAATCATAATATGTTCAATCAAAACAAGATGAATCTTAGTTTGCAAGATATTTTCCCTCAAAATAACCAAGGTGAAAAACGCGGCCGGCTTACGAGCCCCGGGTTGGCTACCCCTGCTTTGGGCCGAGAGTGTGGGTCCCAATGCAAAGCCCACTGTTAATAAATATAATTAAAAAATTCAATCATGTAAAATAGCATCCAACCTACCTGCTGATCTCCGGAAGTTTAAGTTTTGTGAAATCCCAATACTGGAGTCTGTATGTCATGTTATCGATATTCTGAACTACGGCTCGATGTCCGTGGTTTTCAGCGTACACCGTTGATATGATTCGATTTATATTACTTCGCATACTGTTGCGTGTTCTTCTGAAAAAAAGAAAATAGGCAACTGGGGAGAAATGTTCTCTCCATAGAGCAGGGGTTCTAAAACCTTGGGGTACTCCCGTAGTATGTGTACCAGGTCAGGGTTAAATCAAAATTTTAGTCCGATTCTTCTTATTTTACTTCTATTATGAGCAAATGACTTTTGTTGTTTTCGGAAAAGTTATACAGAAATTTTCTTTGTATTCGGTGAAGTTTTATTCACATCATTTTAATGTATTTGTGCAAATGTCAAAGTGTGAATAGCATGTAACACTAGATATGAATCCTTTTAAGATTGAAGAAATATCGAAAACAGTTTTTCACGCACAGTGAAACAGGGGTAAAGACTTCAGAAATAAACAAAGTGAAGAATTTATCAAAAAAGGTTTAGAACAACTGCTGAATACCTCAACTGTCTAGGGTCGTGGTCGTGGTTCACCATATGGATAAATCCTATTAAATGATTTTTCTCTCCCTGGATAAATATTAAAATACTATAATGCTTCCAAGCCTTTACCTTAACTGTCTATGTGATCTCCCTTGTTGTTGGCGACCGAAAACTCCACGAGAATTCGGACGAACTGACGGTGGTTCAACGTATGTCTGAGCAATATTTCTCGTTGATGAATTGCCTGTTGGTGCATTCGGAACCTGGAATATAAAGAAATAATGATAGAACTGAGGTAGTTTCCAATTAGGACAGTAAAGTTGGCCATGTTTTCACTGGAGCTAGAGTTGTTTTATACAATCCTTGGCTGGCCTATCAAAATTTTGGAGCCTTCAGACTTGAAATTTCAGATTATTAATGGAAGTCAAAATTTTAAGTTTAAAACTTGTATACCAGGGCTTCCCAACCTTTTACGCTCGCAACTTCTTCCAATATAATAAATTTTTCTGGGACCAGTTAAGGCGGCATTGGTATGCAAGCAAGCCGCTTCTGACTGTATCGATGTATTCTCTCGTAACTGCGAGATTCATGTTTTGCAATAATTGCGCTTTGAATTATTATTCTTTAAATCATTTATCTTTTGAGCTTAGAATATTTAATGTCAATTTCCAAAATTAATTAACGAGTTTCATGTTAAATTTCAGATTAATTATAAAATTTTGTTGCCGATGTTTCATGGTAGCGTTCACACATGAACCTCAGTAGGAATGGAGCCTAGGTCTGACATAAAAATTTTTAGTGCTCCCGAAGTATGTGAACCAAGATGGCGGATACCGGAACATAGTATGTGTACCAGGTTAGGGTAAGGCCATAATTTTATTCCAATTTCCTTATTTTAGTTCTATTACGAGTTAGCGGAACAGCCAAGTGACTCCCGTAGTGTTTGTACCTGAAATTACGGCCCAACCCTAACCTGGTACACACACCACCTTCCGATGCCTGCCATCTTAGTTCACATACTTCGGGAGTATCAAAATTGTGAGACTCCCCGAGCCGAAACTGATGCCACAGTTTGGATATACCGTGTCTCTGAAACTATTGTGATTTAAAACTATCTCCCCAAACCTGGCCACCAACCTGAGTGTCAGATTCTCTCCAAGCTGGACGTGGAGCGCTCGGCCAATCAGATCTTCGAGTCAAATCCGGCAAATCATCTCGACTCCTTGCACCACCGTTTTGCTCTTGTTGTGACGTGTCGTCCCCATATTGCTGTGTCATGGTTGTATTTCCTGCTGATTCCCGCTCAATGATTAACGGTATATCAAATCTTAATGCGGGTCGTTGGCTATCTGAACTTTGCAAATTGTTTGAGCTATCAAGGGGATTCCCCACCCCACGTCTACTCCAATCTGGCATCCAGATATTATTATTTTCCATGCGGATCTCTGGTTGAATTTCTTCTTCATGTTGATACAATGGAGAACGGTCATTCAGGCGAGACCAGCGATCTCTCATCACATTGACATCTGTTTCAAAGGGCCTGTCAATAGTGAAATAGGTTCATTAAACAATATATATAAACAGTGTTTAAAAAGTAACACAAAATTTATTTAATAAAAGTGGAAAAAGTATCGCAAAATTTAGTCTTCACAATTTTATTTATTTTATAGCAGCGCCTCATCAGCAACAGACCCGCTTGCCAGGGGCGTAGCCATAAATTTTGAAATGAGGGGGTTTCCAGATTTATATTTTCCAAGTTAAATCGAAACAGTTAGCGGTTCCGGCCAAACACCAAAATACGTGCGTTTTCATGAAATTTTTTCAAACTTCTAAAGAATGATTTTTGAATTACCTTTTTAACTTATAAAGACTAAATTTCGTGTTACCTCTTGAACTGTTATTAAAGATTACATTTTGAGTTACATTTTCAATTTTTAAAGAATAAATTTTGCATCACTTTTGGAACTTTTAAGGAATACAATTTTCATTACTTTTTTAACACTCTGTATTATATATATATAATGATTGTCAACCTGTGTTCAGCGAAACACAAGTGAATTAAAATTTGGTAGTTCTTTTTAGAACTCGCATCCACAAACTAATATTCTTTTCAATATTCTTAATTACCGTAATTGGATTATCTATTTCGGAGAAATTTGATACCAGAGAGGTGCAAAAGTCAGCCCGCTGGCCACAATCCGGCACACCAAGACATTTGATGTGGCCTTTGTCAACACTCCCATATTTTTTCCCATCAAGCCTTTTTCCATTATCCGACAGATTAACCTTAATTTTATTTGCTCTTGTCGTTGCAGTAAATACTTAATAACTATTTTGCCCGGTGCCTTCATTACTGTAATGATAGTTTTTGTGGGGCCCATCTAGATGTCTGAGGTTGGTTATATGGCCCATCAAACAACAAATGTTGCACACCCCTGCCCTAAACTTTTATTTGGTGTTCCGTAAACAATGTCCGCAAATGTTCGAAAGATTAAAAAAGGTTGAAAATCACTATAAATACGTTACCCCAGTAGTGGAATAATTTGGTAATCAACCAAAAAATTCTTTAATGTTGAAACAGACAATTAAAAATGGGTTGTGTACACCAATCGTAAGCCGGTTAAAAGTTGGTTTTATCTTTTTTTTTCACTTTTTATCAGCCAATCATTCGACTTTGTCATGGGCATTTCGAATCGGATAGTAAATTATCGGTTCCAACAAGATATTTGAATCGCCGCCATCCTGTTTTTTTATTTCTCCAAAAGTCGAGGTGTATCTGACATTATTTTATTGAAGCCGTATTTTTAAAATGCAGTTCTGTCATACAATTTTTCTTCATGTGGGTTACTAATGAAACATGTTTCTTATACGGTGTGAACACTCAGAGAACTGTCTGAGTAATAGATTATGTGTTTTTTCTTAAATTTATGTGTCTAGAGGAGCCATTAGAATAAAAGAACATATAGAATTACATATCTACCATACAGTGATTTCCCTACACCCCACCCCCTATAGGGGTGAAAAACATCCTAAAATGTCAAACACTCCTAATTTTCAGGTGTGACGCCATACTTCAATTCTTAACACGAGGGAAAATGTATTCGAAGTTTCAGAAAGTGGCTCATATGCCATTGAAGATGATCAGTCAACCTCATATCACATTTATATAAGTTACAAATAGTATAACAAAATATTTACCACCCCCCTAAATTTGGAAACACCCCTCTAAAATAAAAAACTGGGGAACATACTGCTACCAAGTATATGGGCCTGGTTTAAAAAATAATATTAGATTTTGAAACCATCAGATATTCGGAAATGCCCTGCCCTAGCCTTGACAAAAGCTCAAAAATTGCTTGCCTGGTGCCAGATTCAGAGTGGTGCTTTGCAGGCATAAATACTGTCTAGTTATGAGAACACCTAGTCACTAACCTTGCACCAAGACGGACAGGTATTCTTGATGTTGTCTGTCTAGCTATACTAGGTACAGTCGTTTGCATAGTATGTCTAGGTTGAACAGATGTCGCACGTTGCATTGATCGTGGAGGTTGTAGAACTCTATATGAACGAGGACTCGGAATACTTGTTCGAATTCCAAAACGTTCGAGTGTATCTGGCATTGGCGTGCTCATAGAGACTCTGGGCTCTAGCGTTACTCTAGTATTCATGATCGTATCGCGTATTATGTTTATAGTACTGTGTTGATTAGTCGCCATGGATGTTCTAGCTGCACTATGTGAAGTAGTTGTAATAGCTGAACTGTGTATACTAGTGGACATGGGGCTTGCAATACTGGCACTTGATGCGGTAAAACTCGGGGTAGAAATATAGGTTGCAAGGCTAGAAACTGGGGGTAGTTCTTGCGTTGGAAAATTCGCAGTTGATGTAGCAGCTGCAAGCAGCAAATTATTAGCAGCTCCAGAAAGAGAGTCTGTTGCTTCAATTAACGAGTCAACTGCCATGGATAACGATTCTGCAGATGTGATTGTGTTCTCGTTGAAAGGGGACGGATCAGTAATTGAATTCATACCACTTGGTGGAGTAAGAGATTCCGAACTTTCACCTAAAAGATCACTTAAATCTACGGTTTCGGAACCAACTAGACTCGGAACACGAGAGCTTGTTCTACTGCTCGACGCAGACGTACTCTCGTCTCCCACAGGAAAATCAGCGGCATCTTCTCTTACTGTGTTGCTCTGGGGTGCGCTGGATGCGAGCGTAAAAGTTTCTAAAGTCGGTGAAGCTGTTGATACAGAGGAATATGCCGGTGGTTCGATAGCTGACATATGCCGCAGATACGCACTCATACCAGAACTTGTCAAAGTCGCTGATTCGCTTGACTGGTTTCGGGTCATTTGTATTAGGGATTGTAGCGATCGTAGCCTTGACATTGAATATTGTCTTCTTGATTCATGTTCACTCGTTCTATCCGGTCCTAAATTATTTTGATTAGATTGATCCGGTTCAATGTGGTTCTGGCTCGTTGAAACCGGTTCCAACTGGTTGAGACCGCTTGTATTTGAAGTTTGACCGATTTCCTGTCCAAGCCAGTTACGAGTGGTAAAAACAGGTTCTGGCAAGTTTAGACCTGTTGATGAAGGTGGGCTAGAACTATTCTCCTCAGTATTGAGGTATCTTAGTCCAAGCGAATCCAAATTAGACGAGCCCAAACTGGTTGAATCCGGTTCCAGCAGGTTCAAACTGGCATTTCTTCTTTCAATTTGTCTTGTGATATTTTGAGGAGGCGAATGCTCGAAGGAACTTCCAAAATTTCTGTTCAAATAGGAATCTCGAAAGTTAATATAACGCTCTCTAGGTGGCGATGAAGCCAAATTTTCCAAAGTTACGGATGATTGAACATCGGAAATATCAATTTCCATCATTTCATTAGAATTGGATAAACTTCGCGTCGCAGTTGAAGTGGAATTCTCCTCTGAAGGTAAGGTTGCAAGACCATCTATTGCTGAATCAAGTGACGTTGCAGAAATCCAATTTACTTCCGGATTCGGAGAAATTTGGCGAGTTAGTCTCGCAAGCGAATATGACTCTCTATCGGCCATTGAAATCGGTGTTTCTCGTCGAAGATAAGGGGAGGACCGGAGTCCAAGATTATCCCTTTCTAAACTCTGGGCTGTATTTGCAAGGGTGAGCAATCGAGGGGGTAACAAATTATCCTCCGATGCCTCTGGTGTTGTAACTGCGGCATCCCATAAATCGGAGGCGACGTTAGAAGCCATATATGAAGGACGCATAAGTGTCTCTTCGCTAGGTGCAGAAATAACGTTTCGACGTCTCCCGGAATCAGTCGTGGATGTTGCAGCTATCGAAAAATTACCTGGAGATAAATTTGAAAATGTACCATACATCGCACGGCTTGTTGTAGCGGTAGTAACGCTTGACAGCTGCTGCTGTAGGATTTCCTCTCTCAGGGACCGAAGGTGAGAGTGAAGTATATCTCGCCGTGAAGGACCGGAAAAATTTGGAAATGAGACATATGGTGCAATGCGTGGAGTTGTGTATGTATCCAAAGTCGAAGTCAGGCTTAAATTCGCCGAGGGGATTCTCCCTGTCAGCTCATGATAACTAGGTTGGAAACTTTGTGTTGCTGGACGATACAACGCTTCCGGCTCAGTCAGAGTACCGCGCTGTGGCTGGTAAATAGTACTTCTAAAACCCGGCCGCAAATTTGTTGAAACATTTTGTGTACTCGATGACGAAGTTGTACTTGAAGTTACACTACTCCTATCTGTACGACGGATATTTAAAACATCCAATAAGCGTTCTCGTTGTCTTCGGACGTTATCAACGCTATTCTGAATACTTGTTGTGTACGGTGCAGCCACTTGATGGTGTTCTGGGTCATCTAATATGGTTCTAGTGTTTACGCTTCCTGTGGCGCTATTGAACATTGGCGTGGAGTTTCGGACTTCATTCGCGCTGTTTTGTAGTTCACGTAGTCTCAGTTCAAGCCTATGACGTTCCTGAAAAATAGTGAGAATTTTAGGGTTGCCAGATAATGGTTATGTTGTACTGTCTGTATAATGGGTTGTGAGATTTTTTTGTCACTTCTGGAAATATAAAGTCGCCAGATTTCAATCATCAACGGTTGCCAAATTTTACTTACGCACCGTTGGAATTTTAAGGTTGCCAAATTTATAATCCAGTGTTGGAATTTTGGGGCTGCCAGAATTTTTAAGCAATGTTAGGATTTCAATGCAACCGGAGATTCCAAAAAGGTTGCCAGATTGTATTAAAGCACTGTCAAAATTTGAGATTTCCAAATTTTCTTTGTGCTTACTAGTTTTGCAGTTGCCAGATTTTTTTTAATCACTGTTGGAATTCCAACTATACCGTATTAGTCTATGCACCAATTTTGCTTTTACAGGATAGGATATTACATATTTATCCAGAGGAAAGTCGAAAAAACTACCTAATGACATGGAGAGCTTCAGCCTCTCGCCCGGTTACCAGTCCATGTCGGGTATGTGATTAGTTAGACAGTTATTTTGTTCAAAATGAACGATATGACTGTGACTTAATAAATCAAGAGGGACACCTAGCTTATTGATTGACTCAACTTTGAGTTAGGATAGCTGATTCAACTGGCGGCTCTGGGTTTAGAAAGTTCTAATCAACACTATCCGCCTCACACAGGATAAAACCAGGATATGCTCATCTATCTGTGACAGATGACATCACAGATTACCCATCTGGGAAAATATAGGATGCCAGAAATATAATAAAGTCACAATTACCTGTCTCAACATTTGTAGCCTTGTGCACTGCTGCCGTATTTGAGCATTTACGTTCACTCTTGCATGCCATATTCTTTGATGAGCTTCAGCGAGCGGATTCTGCCTAAAATAAAAAGACAATATTTTTTCATAAAATTTGTTTATTAAAGCAAACTAGTGCACGCTCACTTATAAGTAAAACGAAAATCAGTAAACCCTACATCGCTACCGAAAGTGCCCAAAGCCAGTTCACACAAACTCACTCAGAAGTAAAAAAGACTCAAATCTGAGAAAAGTTACAGGCACTCACTCAGAAGTAAAGGAGACTCATCTGTGAGCAAAGTTACAGGCACTCACTCAGAAGTAAAGGAGACTCATCTCTAAGCAAAGTTACAGGCACTCACTCAGAAGTAAAGGAGACTCATCTCTAAGCAAAGTTACAGGCACTCACTCAGAACTAAAGGAGACTCATCTCTGAGCAAAGTTACAGGCACTCACTCAGAAGTAAAGGAGACTCATCTCTGAGCAAATTTACAGGCGCTCACTCAGAAGTAAAGGAGACTCATCTCTGAGCAAAGTTACAGGCGCTCACTCAGAAGTAAAGGAGACTCATCTCTGAGCAAAGTTACAGGCACTCACTCAGAAGTAAAGGAGACTCATCTCTGAGCAAAGTTACGGGCACTCACTCAGAAGTAAAGAAGACTCATCTATGAGCAAAGTTACAGGCACTCACTCAGAAGTAAAGGAGACTCATCTCTGAGCAAAGTTACAGGCGCTCACTCAGAAGTAAAGGAGACTCATCTCTGAGCAAAGTTACAGGCACTCACTCAGAAGTAAAAGAGATTCATCTCTGAGCAAAGTTACGGGCACTCACTCAGAAGCAGAGGAGACTCATCTCTGAGCAAAGTTACAGGCGCTCACTCAGAAGTAAAAGAGATTCATCTCTGAGCAAAGTTACGGGCACTCACTCAGAAGCAGAGGAGACTCATCTCTGAGCAAAGTTACAGGCACTCACTCAGAAGTAAAAGAGACTCATCTCTGAGCAAAGTTACAGGCACTCACTCAGAAGTAAAGGAGACTCATCTCTGAGCAAAGTTACAGGCGCTCACTCAGAAGTAAAGGAGACTCATCTCTGAGCAAAGTTACAGGCACTCACTCAGAAGTAAAAGAGACTCATCTCTGAGCAAAGTTACAGGCACTCACTCAGAAGTAAAAGAGACTCATCTCTGAGCAAAATTACAGGCACTCACCCAGAAGTAAAAGAGACTCATCTCTGAGCAAAGTTACAGGCACTCACTCAGAAGTAAAGGAGACTCATCTCTGAGCAAAGTTACAGGCACTCACCCAGAAGTAAAAGAGACTCATCTCTGAGCAAAGTTACAGGCACTCACTCAGAAGTAAAAGAGACTCATCTCTGAGCAAAATTACATTCACTCACTCAGAAGTAAAAGAGACTCATCTCTGAGCAAAGTTACAGGCACTCACTCAGAAGTAAAGGAGACTCATCTCTGAGCAAAGTTACAGGCGCTCAGTCAGAAGTAAAGAAGACTCATCTCTGAGCAAAGTTACAGGCACTCACTCAGAAGTAAAAGAGACTCATCTCTGAGCAAAATTACATTCACTCACTCAGAAGTAAAAGAGACTCATCTCTGAGCAAAGTTACAGGCGCTCACTCATAAGTAAAGAAGACTCATCTCTGAGCAAAGTTACAGGCACTCACTCAGAAGTAAAGGAGACTCATCTCTGAGCAAAGTTACAGGCACTCACTCAGAAGTAAAAGAGACTCATCTCTGAGCAAAATTACATTCACTCACTCAGAAGTAAAAGAGACTCATCTCTGAGCAAAGTTACAGGCACTCACTCAGAAGTAGAGGAGACTCATGTCTAAGTAAAAATACGAGCACTCACTCAGAAATGCTGTAGACTCATATCTTAGAAAAGTTACAGGCGCTCACTCAGAAGTAAAGAAGACTAATCTCTAGGCAAAAGTAGGGGCACTTACTCAGAAGTAATAGAAACTAATCTCTGAGTAAAGTTACCGGCAGTCACATAAATGCATAAAACTAGTGAAATACATGGATAGCCTATATGGTGGTGCATTACATGTACTCACTCAGAAGTAAAAAATCACATCTGAAAAACTTATATAAACACTGACTAAAATAAACCAAACCTGATAAAAATATATTGAAAACTGACTTCAGAACAAAATTGAAATCATAAAGGATTTGAGCAGGCCATGTACTTGTTTAATTGACTACACACTGGGTGAGGTAGTGGGCATGGGATTCGAACTCGGGCCCCTTAACTTGGAAAAATCTGCTATAAAATGAAACAACGTACCTAGTACTGTCCTCTGTTGGTGTTTCATCTACTAAAGTCATCTGAAAACAAAAGAAAAACAAAGGAATTTAAAGTTGGGTAGTATTTAATGTAAAACTGTGAAATAACCTTATCAAGCAATAAAACTAGGAAGAACAGGGAGTTTTCTATTAAAGTAGAATCAGTTTTGCGTCTGGCATTGTGGTTGCCCTCCAACTGCTATGTGGGCCCTGGGTCCCTGATTAGAAACCACTGCTCCATAAAATAACAGTTCTGATTTCAAAAGGTATCCAGCTGTTTTATGGGGTATATTCATTAATAAAAAGGCCAGAAAATGCATTACAGTCAAAAAACTGAATTCACAGGTAATTTACAATAAATTAATAAAGCCATCATGTTGGAAAAATAGTGGTGCACTCATGGCCCCCAGAGAATTGCTTCGTGGGTTCCAAAGGGTCAGAAATTCCTGAAAAAAAAACATTAACTAACTCACATCAGATTCAGTATTCTCCGCATAATTTTCATTTCTTCCTCGTTCATTATGGAATCTGCTAACACGGCGACGGATTGAGTGCCTTGTGCGCCTGCTAAAAAGATATAGTTTTCATAACTTCAAAACATATTCGAAACAATCAGTGCCTGCTTGCAGAGGGAGGGAAACGTATCATTCCTAACATGAATGCCTTATCTACCAAACCAGTTCCCAATCATTAATGGCTTGTGGCCCACTTCCAGAGGCTTTCTGCACTCATGGTCCTCCTGTTTTTCATTCCAGTGGTATTTATAGTGTTATTTTGATTGGTAATTCATGATCAACAAAGTGAAAACGCCCTGTGAAATAACCTTATCAAGCGATGAAACTAGGAAGAACAGGAGGTTTTTTTGTCAAGTGAAAAGTAGAATGAGTTTTTGCCTAGCATTGAGCCCCCATCCAGCTATCTCTAACTATCAGTAGAGCAAGAATCTGGTATTTCTTAAAGTATTACATTCCAATGGCTTATTGCACACAGAAAAATAACCGCGGACATTAAGGTCTCAAACTTTTCACTTTTAGTTATATAAATGAGTTATCAGTAAGCAAAACTTTTAAAATCAGTTTTCTCACCTGTGCTCTGAGAAATCCGTTGAGTTGCTAGCATCACCTAGTGGCGGCTCACTTGATATAGATCCTGGTTCACGGGTTGCCGTGGCAGCATGAGGCGGTCGGCGTCGAGAACGGTAACGTGAAGCCTGAAATATATATTTGCAATTAAAATCAGGTTTTGCCATGTGACATTATTACGAAAAATAATAGAAATTATTTTCATCCGATATTTCCCAATTATAAATAATAGTGTAAATGTTTTGGTCTGGTTACTTTACCAGACACTTTTTATCATTGTGCCCTTTCTTGTTGTTACTTATTAATCATTATTTGTTTACATGTTTGTGTGAGGAGCTTTGTGATAGTGCTTTATAGTTTATAACAGGCCTGGAAGAAGAAGGATCTGTATGATATGTCTATCGTATCTGCCTTGAGGGCAAATAAACTTTTCAAACTCGATGTGGCCATAACATAAATTTTAGTATGTTAACATTGAATAATGGCAACAGTTCCAAAATACACACAGTATTATATACTCGCGAATGATGACGCAGATTTGACTCATTCTAATTTTAGAATGCTATCATGATGAATCAGAAAAGAATGTATCGACACCTCAAAACCGAACAGTGCTAAGTCCACTTTTCCAAAAAATGACATTTTTCAATTGCTGATTTTCCTGGACTTAGCTCTACATTTTGGTCTATTTGCCTTATCTCTAGGTGCTCTAGATCTCAAGACAGCTATGGACATAACCCTGCTTTTTTTAGGGCATTTGAGAACTAAACAGAGCTGTGTCTACTATAGTGGACTTAGCTCTGGATAACTGCATTGTAAGTTGGGGCTAAGTCTGTTTTTTGGACATAGCTCCTCTCAAAAAATGTAATACAAAGCGCTAAGTCCATACCAGCCTCTAAAATAACATAATAAAGAGGCCCTAAGTCCGATAAAATTGTTTCTGGTCCAGAAAATTGAGAGTCAAAAAGGGTTAAGTCCAAAAAAAACATCCCCAAAAAAAATTGGGGCGGAGCACAAATTTTTTTATACCATCTAAATATGGCCTTCATTGTCACTTTGGTGGACCATGAAAACTAGACATCCTCGATGTAAGGTATTAGAGAAATAAAAAAAAAACAAAAAAAAAAAACGTTTTTTGCGTTTTTCTCAAAACTAGAAAAATGGACTTAGCCCAATTTGGATTTCATGCGTCGGTATATCAAGAATTGAGATCAAATGATTCCAAGGTTTATTATGATATTTACCTTGGTGTGTGGCTCTATGGCCACCCTATATAGAATACTGCAATTGCTCGTTTTGTAGCCCTGGCCCATATTTTTTTCAACCAACTCACTAACCGGGCCCTTATTCAAACCGGCCCTTATTTATGCACAGGCGCTTGTTATTTTCGATCGTTACAATAATTAATATATTGTTATTTCCAGTTCTCAAGTATGATTTAAACGAGTATAACGAAAATCTTGAAGTTTTGCGACGCCTCATCAATATTGAAACGACGCACTTGGGCGTCGCGACGCCCAGTTTGAGAACCATGGTGTTACGTAATCAATGCTATCTGTTATGTACTTGGACACCTCAGGTGTGAGTGCTATCTACCGGCGCTTAAAATTCAACAGCGTTGTGACAAAAGCGCTTCTTATTTCCTATTGTTCTCTGCCACTGAAAAATCAGCTTTTACATCGGGCGGGTGTTCAAGCACCGGCCCTTATTTATTTTTATGTTCTGTTCACACGGGCGGCTATTCAAACGGGCCCTTTATCAAGATCGGGCGGTAAAACGAGCATATACGGTAGTCACATTTGCAAACACATCTTGTCAAGAATTGGAGGTAAATTGTGGAAATATACACTGCATTGAAATATAGAATTGGCCCTATAGGACCCTTATATAGAGTCCCTAAAGAGGCTTATTAGTATGTAAAAAAAGCGTTTAAAAGTTTGCACTTCTATCATCCCCATTAAAAAATTTAAAATTTGAAATTTAATAAAGAAGGCCCAACAGAATATACAGATCGTCCAGATCAAGCAAGCTATTTCTCTCGTTTTCTCGCCGGTCTCGATATGAGAGAGATCGCTGGCGTTAGTGAAATTGTTATCGGGCGTCTATGCCAGACTTTATTGTGATGTAATCTCTGGATGACGTAGTCAAGTGGGGGTTAGGAATGACATATGCTAAAATTGTTGTGTCAGGCCAACTAGAAGTATGTGGTAAAAAACAACTTACCGGTCTGAAATCGCCAGAGCCTGTTCTCCAAGATCGCGATGAAGGAGCGAACAACCACGACCAGTGATCTGTGAAAAAATATAATTGCCAGATTATTTTGGTTAATATTAAAGAAGTTTGAGAAATTTAGGACCAAAATAGTGGTCCTTTCTTGCCGAAAACACGTTCTGATATCGGGCCTTGTCAGTATTGAAGGGGGAGGGACAAATAACTTTATAAGATACTCTAATGTCAAATAACATCACAGTATGATTGGCGGATGTTTTACAGGAAAATGCATAAAACATATTACCATATATATATAGTTAACAAAAGGCAAGCAGACAGAATGTCAGGAAAAAACACCTATAAGGCAAGAGAGAACAGAATTTTGATATGCGTATTATGCATGGAGTTTGAAAAATTCCCGATAAAAATGAACTAAAACTTGGGTGCGTATTATACACGTAGAAATACGGTATATACAAGATATTTTATTTTTTGTTATGATACAAGAAGAAATTCAATCACACAAGGAAATGCAAACTGACAAATTGCATACAATGAAACGCTGAAATCATCAACTGTAAAACTGACAAGAAATCATCAACTGTAAAAACTGACAAGCTTATCTAACTATTTTATTTTTCATCATAATAGAAAATTTAAATTAAATTAACAGGCTAAAACAGAGGTGGGCACGGTTTTTGGATCAGGTGGCGAAAATTTTGCCAATTAAGCATGAAATTAGGATTAATAATTTTTGATATTTTTATGCCAATGCATAATATGCATACCCTTATTTTGAAAACAAATTTTGCCGTGAAAGTGTGTAATACTTTATCCAAATTTACTCATTGTAATATTGACCTGCTTACGATTAGTGCAGCAATTCGATACATATTCCTATTTAGTAACATTTACTCCAGAAGTATGCGCACCAAGATGTCGCACTGCCTGAATCCTGACAAGTACACACATACTGTGTTCAGGTTGTGCGCCATCTTGGTGCACATACTTCTGGAGGTCCTATTTTTGATTTATTCCAAGTGCGCTATAGATTTAGGTTGAATGAAGCCTTATATCAAAGTTCTAAGTTGCAATTCATTACAAAGTGTGTATTATATGCAAAGAAATATGGTAATCAGCTCGTTTTGCCACTAACGAGACGCAATTTGAACCACACAGACCTATCTTATTAAAATAACCAGTCTATGTCACAGCTATGGCACGAAATATTAATTGAAGCAGCACATTTCGGACTAGGGGTCCAGATCCCCCAGTGGGTCGCGAAATGGCTCAACGAGATTAATAAAAAAAATTTTTAACAATGACTCATTTTAAACAAAAACATTGATCAAATTTGAAGGACTTGAAGCCAGTACTAAGACCCACCATAACTAAAGTAGCGCCAGGTTCAATATTTTGTGCGAGAATATGCAAGCACATCAGTTTCATGGAAGCTATTGTCCTTTTCATTTTAATATTCTCTGTATTAAATTTTTTTATGTTCGTTTTGGTCACGACTCACGAGGGTCACAAAAAAAATGGGCCGTGTCGAGTGAGTCATGTGAAAAAGGTTTGAATAACACTGATTTATATAGTACAAGGCCAACCATGCTGAGAAATCTAAGTTAAATACAATCTAAAGAACAAGGCCGAAAGATACATTGAAATTTAAAATGATGCTCAATAGCATGATACACGTGCTTACTCACCAAATGTTGGTTCATCCTCTTCGTCATCTTCCGCATTTCCGACCCCGGTAATTATAGAGTGACCCCACGGATCAAAACGGACAAAACGAACCTGGAATATATAAAAATGGATGATAGGAAGGTAAACTAGGTAGGTGTGAAGTCTAATGAAGAATGCTTGCGCAGAGCAAATGAATTATAAATAATACAGGGTGTCCATAAAGTCCCTTTTACAATTTCAATTTTGTTATAATCACTTCATAACAGTCATACCAGTCAGAAGGTTCGTTGTTTTTAATCAGTAATTGTTCTGGTATTTTTACTCCATTTATTACATCTGTGAGGGCCAAAACAATATATGGTATTGATAAATTCCCTTCGCAATTTAAAAAAAATTTAAGATATTATGGACAAAAAATTCGAGAAAAACCGAATATTCGATACGCCTTATACATCCATATTTCAGATAGAATGACCTCACCCAGTGTGTAATAACTTGATTTGAAAGATTACGGTTCTTCCAAACTTCCCACCAAGTAATGGCTACTTTTACAGAGACTTAGTTAAAGCTAGGGTGGGCAAGATTGAAATACTTTTTTTCGAATCAAATAATTCAAATACTTTAAAAGAAAACAGAATAGTCGAATAACGAATATTCTTTCTACACCAGAGCTGTCCAGAACATCGGATGTATAGATTCATGATCAGTTTAGAGGCGCGCTAGTTTTGCCGGTCATGTGGCACCAGATATCCGTTTAGCAACAATGCCATTCGAATATTTCAATATTCGATTTGTTATTCGAATATTTAGCGTGATATAAAATCTAATGATTTAAATTTTGATATGCTTTGTTGTGCACTCCTGTTTACCATCTATACAGAGGCTGAGAATCAAAGCTTAAGATATAAATACATCTTCAAAAAATCCAAAAATTTAAATTTCAATAACTTTGTCCTGTTTTCTGTCTCACCTTCTCAGATTCAGAGTTAGTTTTCACAGACGCAAATGGATGCGGCAAGCTCCAATCCCAAAAATGTATTTCATTTCCTGCTGCTATGGCTAGTACATGATCATAGGGATGAAACGAAAGTGACGCAATCGCTACCAGTTCGTTGTTATCCACTGTCCAAGATTCACTCCCCTCACCCCGTAGATCCCAGACCCTGACCTGAAAAAATAAATAAATTACTATGTTGAAAATATTTGATAATATTCATTGAATGCAAGGCTACACACAGTTCTGAGAAAGTTATTAAGAACATTCACTCAATCGTATAAGAGACTCATTTCTGAGCAAAGTTGAAGGCACTCACTCAGAAGTAAGAGAGACTCATCTCTGTTAGAAGTTACCACTGAAATGAACCAGAGAACGCAAATGTCAGATACCAATGGATCATATGATTTAGTTTGACCAAATTGAAATTTCTTATACCTTAAATTAAGAATTTACCGCATAAAAAAAAACTGATTCTTAAAATATTCATTTAGTATTAACATTGCTGCCTGTAAATAGTTGAACCATGATTGAAGTGAAGTTGTCCCTCCAATGCGACTTTTCTTTCATTTAATATTACACAGATCCTCCTTTCAAAGACATATCATCAAAAAATAAACTCTTACCTCTCCATTCAGGGATCCTGTAGCAAGAATTTCATTTGATCCAGGATGGAAAGTAACACACCATGGCGAACGCTCGTGACCAGAAAGAGACTTCACCAACTTCTTAGTTTTCAAGTCCAAAATGTGGATATTGTGGTCTCCATGGCAACTTGCTGAAATTTTTTTTAAAATAAATAAGACAGGCAAACATAACAGCCTTATATCTAAGATTTGTCCTTAATTTAAAAGGGTTTGTATCGGAAAATATTTTTGTCCTTATTTTGACATGTGTTCCTATTTTCGTTTTATTTTAGAGATAGAGCATCTTATACCGGACACTTAGTTTGGTCAATTCGAATGATTGATTTTCTAGGAATTATATTAGAACCTCATTGATTGCTACGCGCCTCGACATGCCTCGATTTCAAAACTCGGTTATGGCCTATAAGAACAGCCTTCTCACTTTGAGTTACTGTAATTTTGGTTAAAACAAATTTTATGTGAAAATGGTTGTTTCATATTAGTCAGTTAATTTGGAGGCTTTTAAAAGCACTACATGCCGCCTAGTATTGAGATTTCAAAAAAATTGATGGTTTGAAAAAAGGTTGGAAACCACTGGAATAGACAACACATACCACAGGTCTCTATTCTCACAATGAGCGTTCAGTAATTTTAGTTCTTGTGAAGGTTTTCAATAGGTTTGGTATGGCAGTAGGTAAATAAAGCCCTCACTATGTGTTAGAGATTTATTAAAAATCACAGATAATCATTTAAAAAGTTAATTATACAATTAAAGTGTAGGTGTTAATTAGGAGGAAAAGGCCATTAATTTAACATTACGGTGACTCCTTGCCCGCCTGCAGACTCGAAAAAAAATTTTTCTTTGTAAAACTAGAGTTTTTTTTTTATTGAGAAATTCGCGCTTCAATGAATCATGAATATCTCCTATATATACCTGATTAATTAATTGGCAAGATTTGACCAAAACCGATAAGCAAGAAAGTGGAACTCAGCAGTGCTTGTCATTTAGAATGTGTTTTTTCCGTTCAGTCACGTTTTAATAAATTATAAATACTTTTATTATAAACCAGATTAATTTGTTTGCATGATTTAACTAAAACAAAGAAATGAGATAAAATTGACAGCAACATTGCTTCTGATTTATTTAGATTTAGATTTTTCCGACCAGTCATAATTCAATGATTTATGAATATTTTATATATGCTAGATCAAATTTGTTTGCAAAATTAACTCAACTTAAACCAGAACAAATAAGTTAAAAATTCACAGCAACAATGCTTGTGATTTAGGAATTGGTTATTCCGACCAGTCACGCTTCTATGATTTATGAATACTTTGAACTACAAACTTGACAACTTTGTAAGTATAGTTAACTCAACCAAACCAGAAAAATAAGTGAAATTGGCAGCAACAGTGCTTTTAATTTGAATTGAATGCTTTTAATTTTAATTTGAAGAATTACTTCACTACGACATCCCAGTAGCTTAATAAAGCTCTCCAAAGTGTACGGATGGTAGTCCAAAATGTGCAGACAATCACCCAAAATTGGAGGCGCAGTTCTTACCACTTCATGGCAGCTCCTGCCACGAACGAACCGCAGCAGCTCTTGCCATGGTTTTATAGCGCTATTCAGTATTCAGTAATCAGTATTAACGGTATATATTCAAACATTAATGTACCAGATTTTAATTGATCATGTGGAATTATATCTACTTAAACCCTAACCCTAACCCCAAATCCATCAAAACTGTATCCATAAGAAAAAACATTCCAACTTACCCAATATTTGTCACCATAAGGGACAGCCCTGTCTTTACAGCCAACCTGCCGTGGTTACGTAATTGGTTTGTGGCAGCTAAAAAGTCAGTCGCCATAGGTTTGGTCGTAGCGGTCATGGTATGAAAATACCGCGATGGTTTTGCGGCAGCTGCAGACGCCACAGAATACTTAAAACTGCACTTGCAAAATGGAGCAAGCTATTTCTCTTGTTTTCTCATCGCAATGATCCCGATATGAGAAAGATCGCAGGCGATAGTGAGTTTGTTATCAGCAAATGGCGTTCTGGGCGTTAAGAAGTATGCTACGCCCACCGGAAGTACTAAAAAATACCAGACCCATGATTTTGACCAGTCTTATCAAGGGTTTCAGTGTAAAAGCTACAACTTGAAAAAAAAAATAATACGAACCTAGAAGAGTGTTGTCCGGGCTGAACGCTGTGATAAATGTAGTCTTTGTCCTTGGAGGAAGTTCGAATTTCGAGTTATCCAAATTTACTGACGCAACTACCCGGTCTCCGTAATGTCTTAGTGGGCTTCTGTGTGAATTCCAACCTCGTAATCCAAGAGAACGATTCCTTTCTGCTATAACTACATTTGTTTTTATAGGAATAATACTATCTTGCCATGATGTGCTATTATACATTGTTTACACCTGAAAAGAAATGTTTTTAACTTGAAAATGCATAAAAGAAATGAAATTATCATATTCCGGCTAGGGATATCAAGACAAAAAATTGCAAATACTGCAACTTTCAAAAAAAATTTCGTCGTTATGAAAAATCGTTATGCTGGACAATACGTATGTCTTATGGCTCAATTAGCTTTCAAGATAAATTTTGAAAAAGGGGGGAAAATGTGCCCCTTTGCCACCGGTATGTGAACTGAAAAGGCAAAAATAAATCTTACGATAATACTGTAATATGTGTTTGTATAATATGATTTTTATATTAGGTTGAACAAGAACGGATTTTATATAGTTTTACAAAATAAGCCTATAGTGCGAAAAAATATTCGAGAAAGCACGTTTGTGATAAAAAAATTCTCCCTTTGAGAATTCAGTAAAACCTTGTTTGCATTATTAAATTCAAGTTGAGTATGAAAATACTGGAACAGTTCAAGAAATTGAAAAAATTACAATTGTCTTGTTGGTATCCATCCCTTTCACAAATATATCTATTATTCAACTTTACAGAAATATACATATAAGTGTAGAAGCTAAACTACAACTTTATTTTGACCCAATGATATGCATAAAAGACCATAAAATAATTGATGAAAACTGATTGCAGAATACAGAATCAGGAGAACAAACAAAACTTTATAAGATTCAAAGCATACAGAATATAAATTAGAATGCTTTGCCAAAGAAAGTAGTTTATGTTCACTCAATCGATCATTTTTATTCCTGTATTTCGACGACTGTAGCATTGAGCAAAAACAACAACAAACAAAACGCAGAAGACCTGGAGGATGAGAAAGGTTAAAAAATGGGACAAGTCTGCATGTACGCGCTAATCCACCAAAAACTTGAATTGAGTAACTAGCCTAAACACTCACCAAAAAGTATCAAATTAATTTATACACTTGTATCCCTGACACAGAGATTTCTGAATTTTCAAGTCAAGTCAAGTTTATTTTATCCAACAGTTAAAACAAGATATCACAAGAACAAATTACGACAAAATGGTAATTTACGGTACCGTACACAGTTTCACTGGGATAGGGTTGTTGTGGGGAACCAAAACTGGTTATCGAGCAGCGACACCCAGGGTTCTAATATTTCATTCAAAAAGTTAGAATTCTAGAGTTTTGAAACTATTCACTGATATTGCTGTATTGACAGTGAGTAGACTACCGTATCTGCGTATGAAATATCTAAATAACACCATTTATTTTAGGTAATATTAAATTATAATAATCGCAAGAAACTCAAAATGAATTACCCTAGTCCAGTAGTCTACATACAGAAATAGGTAGACTATACCGGTAGGCGTTGCGTACCGGTACGATAGCTAGATTCCTAGATAGAATTTATTTCAATTAATTCGGAAAAACAAAGTAGCCCTAGGCTAAACATACACATACAGACATAAGATTATTAAGGTGAAGAATCTGGGAAGTGAACAAAACCTAATAAAATAAGTTTAAAACTATTAAGAGCATTCACTCACGGAAAAAAAAGTCAAAAGTCTCATCACAAACACAAACAGATAAACATGGATATTGACGGCGGTCATTACTCCAGTACTCAATGACTGGTAGCAGTAGGTGGTACGGTACCGGTACGATAAAACAATAATACAGTAATATTCAAGTATAGCAACGAATAACAAAACTCAGTGAGAAGTTCACCACCAATCTGGCGCAACGGTATCGGGTGAGGGGCGGGGCAAAGGCTGCACTACAGCTGTAGAGCAACTGTATAGGAGGCCAAAACCGGATTCGATCTCCGTCCCACCTCCGGGGATATTCAGGATTGGATTCTTATTGGATGTAGTTTTGTGGGAAAGGTATTTTGTGAGAATGTAATGTAGTCTTGTAGGAAAGATACTTTTCGAAAGTGTAGTTTTGTAGGAAAGATTTTTTGGAAGAATGTAATTTGTGGGAAAGATCTTTGGTGAGATGTTGTTTTGCGAAAAAGGTCGTTTGTGAGAATGAAGTTTTGCGGGAAAAGTCTTTTGTGAGAATGTAGTTTTGTGGGAAATGTCTTTCGTGGGAATGTATTTTGTGAGTATGTAGTCTTGTGGAAAAGGTCTTTGATGAGAATGTATTTTGTGAGTATGTAGTTTTGTGGGGAAATTCTTTTGTGGGAATGTATTTTGTGAGTATGTAGTTTTGTGGGAAAGGTCTTTTGTGGGAATAGTCTTTGGTGAGAATGTAGTTTTGTGGGAAAGGTCTTTTATAGGTAAGGTCTTTGGTGAGAATGTAGTTTTATGGGAAAGGTCTTTAGTGAGAATGTAATTTTGTGGGAAAGGTCTTTTGTGGGAATGTATTTTTGTGGGAAAGGTCTTTAGTGAGAATGTAATTTTGTGGGAAAGGTCTTTTGTGGGAATGTATTTTGTGAGTATGTAGTCTTGTGGAAAAGGTCTTTGATGAGAATGTATTTTGTGAGTATGTAGTTTTGTGGGGAAAGTCTTTTGTGGGAATGTATTTTGTGAGTATGTAGTTTTGTGGGAAAGGTCTTTTGTGGGAATAGTCTTTGGTGAGAATGTAGATTTGTGGGAAAGGTCTTTCGTGGGAATGTATTTTGTGAGTATGTAGTCTTGTGGAAAAGGTCTTTGATGAGAATGTATTTTGTGAGTATGTAGTTTTGTGGGAAAGGTCTTTTGTGGGAATAGTCTTTGATGAGAATGTAGTTTTGTGGGAAAGGTCTTTCGTGGGAATGTATTTTGTGAGTATGTAGTCTTGTGGAAAAGGTCTTTGATGAGAATGTATTTTGTGAGTATGTAGTTTTGTGGGAAAGGTCTTTTGTGGGAATAGTCTTTGGTGAGAATGTAGTTTTGTGGGAAAGTTCTTTCGTGGGAATGTATTTTGTGAGTATGTAGTCTTGTGGAAAAGGTCTTTGATGAGAATGTATTTTGTGAGTATGTAGTTTTGTGGGGAAAGTCTTTTGTGGGAATGTATTTTGTGAGTATGTAGTTTTGTGGGAAAGGTCTTTTGTGGGAATAGTCTTTGGTGAGAATGTAGTTTTGTGGGAAAGGTCTTTCGTGGGAATGTATTTTGTGAGTATGTAGTCTTGTGGAAAAGGTCTTTGATGAGAATGTATTTTGTGAGTATGTAGTTTTGTGGGAAAGGTCTTTTGTGGGAATAGTCTTTGATGAGAATGTAGTTTTGTGGGAAAGGTCTTTCGTGGGAATGTATTTTGTGAGTATGTAGTCTTGTGGAAAAGGTCTTTGATGAGAATGTATTTTGTGAGTATGTAGTTTTGTGGGAAAGGTCTTTTGTGGGAATAGTCTTTGGTGAGAATGTAGTTTTGTGGGAAAGTTCTTTCGTGGGAATGTATTTTGTGAGTATGTAGTCTTGTGGAAAAGGTCTTTGATGAGAATGTATTTTGTGAGTATGTAGTTTTGTGGGGAAAGTCTTTTGTGGGAATGTATTTTGTGAGTATGTAGTTTTGTGGGAAAGGTCTTTTGTGGGAATAGTCTTTGGTGAGAATGTAGTTTTGTGGGAAAGGTCTTTCGTGGGAATGTATTTTGTGAGTATGTAGTCTTGTGGAAAAGGTCTTTGATGAGAATGTATTTTGTGAGTATGTAGTTTTGTGGGAAAGGTCTTTTGTGAGAATAGTCTTTGATGAGAATGTAGTTTTGTGGGAAAGGTCTTTTGTGGGAATGTATTTTGTGAGTATGTAGTTTTGTGGGAAAGGTCTTTTGTGGGAATAGTCTTTGGCGAGAATGTAGTTTTGTGGGAAAGGTCTTTTGTGGGAATGTATTTTGTGAGTATGTAGTTTTGTGGGAAAGGTCTTTTGTGGGAATAGTCTTTGGCGAGAATGTAGTTTTGCGGGAAAGGACTTTCGTGGGAATGTATTTTGTGAGTATGTAGTCTTGTGGAAAAGGTCTTTGATGAGAATGTATTTTGTGAGTATGTAGTTTTGTGGGAAAGGTCTTTTGTGGGAATAGTCTTTAGTGAGAATGTAGTTTTGTGGGAAAGGTCTTTCGTGGGAATGTATTTTGTGAGTATGTAGTTTTGTGGGAAAGGTCTTTTGTGGGAATAGTCTTTGGTGAGAATGTAGTTTTTTGGGAAAGGTCTTTCGTGGGAATGTATTTTGTGAGAATGTAGTTTTGTGGGAAAGGTCTTTCGTGGGAATGTATTTTGTGAGTATGTAGTTTTGTGGGAAAGGTCTTTTGTGGGAATAGTCTTTGGTGAGTATGTAGTTTTGTGGGAAAGGTCTTTTGTGGGAATAGTCTTTGGTGAGAATGTAGTTTTGTGGGAAAGGTCTTTAGTGAGAATGTAATTTTGTGGGAAAGGTCTTTTGTGGGAATGTATTTTGTGAGTATGTAGTTTTGTGGGAAAGGTCTTTTATAGGTAAGGTCTTTGGTGAGAATGTAGTTTTATGGGAAAGGTCTTTAGTGAGAATGTAATTTTGTGGGAAAGGTCTTTTGTGGGAATGTATTTTTGTGGGAAAGGTCTGTAGTGAGAATGTAATTTTGTGGGAAAGGTCTTTTGTGGGAATGTATTTTGTGAGTATGTAGTTTTGTGGGAAAGGTCTTTTATAGGTAAGGTCTTTGGTGATAATGTAGTTTTGTGGGAAAGGTCTTTAGTGAGAATGTAATTTTGTGGGAAAGGTCTTTTGTAGGAATGTATTTTGTGAGTATGTAGTTTTGTGGGAAAGGTTTTTAGTGAGAATGTAGTTTTGTGGGAAATATATTTTTCGAGATTGTAGTTTTGTAGGAAAGATTTTTTGTGAGAATGTAGTTTTGCATGGAAGGTCTTTTGCGAGAATGTAGTTTTGTGATAACAACTTTTTATCCTGAATGAAAAGCAAATGAAAGCCGAAGAAAACTCGGTACTCACATAGTATGTGAACCAAGATGGCGAACACCAGAACGTAGTATGTGTACCAGGAAGGGTTAGTCCATAATTTCAAGTATAAATACTACTGGAGTCACTTGGTTAGTCCCCGAACGTTTAATAGAACTAAAATAAGGAAAATTGTAATAAAATCATGC